CTCGGCAACTAGTGGAAATGCTTGGCATTCTTTGGGCGAGCGGAGCGAAAACTGAAGTACGTATACATCATTACTAGCGATAATATAGCTACGTACATACAGGTATAATGTTTCAGCAAGTAACAGAAGTTATTATGGTGTTGTCATATGAGGTTGAGTAAGGCAGCTTGCGCATACGTAGTTAGTGAAAACTAGACCAGAAGAAAGTAGCAACGGAAAGGTAATGTGCCCGCTCCCCCCTCTCCATCTCTTAATCGTCGCTGAAAAGACAAGCCTCTCTGTCGTGAGGACTTTCGACGGCCGGGCGTTCTGTCTGTCTACCTCTTGGACCAGAAGCAGTATCGTTGCCTTGCCCGCTCTCGATCTCGTAATCATCCCTGAAAAAGACGAGCCTCTCTGTCGTGAGGACTTTCGATGGCCAGGCATACATAGATAGAAAATTCAAGCCGAAGACACGATTCTCTGTCTGTTTTTCTTCGACGAAGAACACTATCCTCCGCGGATGAATCTATCTCGGACTGTAAGAGGATGGAGAAAAAATTCCGCACAGTTTGTCAAGAAGCGCGTACTATTAACGCATGCGCACTAAGACGACGACGGTGCGTCGTTATATTATATTATAGATAGAAAATTCGTCCGAAGACACGACTAGGAGGGCTCGCTCCGCTCGCCCAATGAAAAATAGCTGGAGGGCCTGCAGGGTGTATTCAACCATGCAGTAATTGCAAATAACGTTGTGTGCTGCGAACGTTGCTCTCCCACAAAACGTGGAACACTATGCTGTACAATCATAGGTACATTTACAACAATCAACAGATACATTACTTTATCACAGACTTGTGTACATGTAATTTATAACACGTCACGTTCTAGGACGTTTTGATCTGTAGTTGTCATCTCATACTTCATCTTCAGCCTCGTTCTCCGCTGCAGCAATTTCCTGTTCCTGGGTGACAGGAAGAGCAGCAGTAGGTGGAGAAGAGGGTGGAGGGGTGTGAGAGACAGTCTCCTTCCAGCAGAGAGACTGAGCAGACAACTCCAGGTAGTCTGACTCCCTCTCAAGAAGACCACCGAAGCTGCCCACCAAATCCTTGAACAACGGACGAGCGTGGGAGTCCAGTGACCAGCAACTCATCATGATCTCATATCTGTCGAGAGATATGTAAGGAGTGTATGACTGGTAAAGCCTTGTAAGGTAAATGTGAGGTTTCTTACACTTCATCCAGACAGGCCTCATTGTCGGGTCTCTTCAGTCTCTGTCCTCTCTGCAGTTTCTTCAGGAGACCAATGGCTGGAATACCAGTGTATGGGATCCTCCCACAAGTGAAGATCTCCCACACCGTCACTCCAAATGACCACTGGAGACAAGTCACCACACCTCAGAGCAGTAGTCAGTCACATGGTGCGTATTATCTGAACGTACCACATCAGTGGCCTCAGTGTATATGTCTTCCTCGATGCTCTCAGGAGCCATCCACCTGATGGGCACCTTCTCCTCACTCTCACCCTCTCCACTCTCCCGACGGAAGTAGTTGGTGCCATACATATCCTCAGTTAGTCCAAAATCTGCAACCTTTATCACTCCATCACGGCCAATCCTATGTGGAAATTAGCCACAGAGTATGCCTCAACAACAAGCTGTCTTACATGCAGTTCCTAGCTGCCAGATCGCGATGAACAAACTTCTCCATTGCTAGATACTCCATACCCTTTGAGATTTGGTGACAGATATTTAAAAGACTTTTCGTGGCCGAATGGATCTGTTGCGGGTGTTGATATCATATCCTAATGAATAGTATGAAAATACAGACTCAACCTGTGGTGCTGTTGCATTAATGCAAAGCAGTTCCTCCTTGTGGTGCTTAACAAATTCCAAAACACATCCATTAGACATAAAAGGCATAATTAGTAGGGGTATCTCCTCCTCAATACACACTCCCACAAGAGACATGACATTGGGGTGCTCAAATGATAACATGGTAGCCACCTCTTTAGCTAGTCGTTCCATATCACCACTGGAAAATAGTGCTGCAAATACACAAAGACACGTGATACATATTTACGTGTAAGAGCATATAATAACCTTTTCCAGTTTTGACAGCAACCAGTTCCTTCCCTAATGCAGTGTTCAGATATCCCTTGTACACCAGCCCTGACTCTCCTGCAACAACAATCACTGTGATAGTGCTTTGCCAGAAAAGCCGGCTAATATATACCACACCTTGGCCGACTGTACGGCTAAGCTCAAGATCTCTCTTGGAAAATACCATTCTCTTATCCTTCAGCTGCTGCTTGAGTTGCTCGGACAGATAAGATCTCTTGGTTGAACCTGTAAAATATGGGGTTCCTAACCACACATGTTTATAAACTTTGTGTTTTTCTTCGGATTTTTTGACTTTCTTCTAATGCATCATTATATACTCAGTTTCGTTACACATATCATTCAAAAATAAACTTTTCTTTGTTCCTTAGCATGTAATATTAAAGACATGTGGTCGGTATCTCCCTATTAGCAAAGCACAAGATTTAGGACAAACATGCACCAAAAGTTTCATGAACACGGCTTGATTGGTCCACCAACATTCCCACTAAACACTTCGGAAATTGTATTTTGTAACAAAGGTTTTTAGTTAATAATCTCACCGAGAGAGACATAGTTGTGTTCAGAAACTGAGAGCTGCCCTCTATACCTGTGGAATTTATATATACATTGACAGCAGAACCAAATTGATTACTCACTCTTCGAGATCCAGTCTTTTGTTGTTGTTTCTTCTTCTAAAATATAGCATGCTGACCACAACAATGGCTGCTAGTGTAATGACGACAATTATTGAAAGGATGATTGCTGCAATAGTAACTCCACTGTCATTTGATGCTGCGTCAGGTTGCGAACATATTTCACACTGACTTGGTAGTTCAATAATAACAGTAGGATCTAGTTTGTTCACATGTACACGTGGAGTCTCATCCAATACTACCAAGTTTAACTCAATTTCAATTTCACTGCAGTCAAAGCAGCCACAGATATTCACCATACCAAATTCAATTGAAATATTGAAGCACTCTGTCTGAGACGGATTAGTAAAGTTTACGGAAAAATTCAAACTATCTGCACTGAGCTTGATTAAATCTGTAAAGTCTGATGACGCACAAACAAAAAGGAATCATTATCACCGAAAAGAGAGGGTATCACTTACTAGCTATTTGGTCAAATGTGACATTTGTAGTAAATGTTTCGTCAATTCCTGGAGTTGTACTAGTGACACATACTTCAGTGTATCCATCCATTTCAGTTATAGTATAGCTGCTTAACTCATACTCAACCTTTACAACTGTAAAAAACATCAAATGTTTTGTGTATATACTGTGTTTTTGCACCTTGATAAGAGAAGTGTGCAGCATAACTTACAGCATTCCGGCTCTCTGCTATCATCAATCGAGACTGTTGCCCTGGACAGCGATGAGTTAATATCTAGTCGATCCGTAGAGGTCACACTAAGACGGACTTCAAACTGTGTGGTGTTTGTCCATCAATTCACAGACGTTATCTGTCAGTATTGTGTAATCGTGACAAATTTCAGGAGTGCCCTTCTTAAATTGTAACTCTTTATTGCACCCCAATGAGTACTGTTTGGAAACTTCGCTTCCTGAAATAAAGTACAATGCAGCAAGATTATAGTCTATGTTGCACTATAGATATTATCCCCGGTTGAAGCAATGGGTGAATATTCACAAATTCATCTAGCTACCTTCTTTAGGAATCATGGTGATGCTGAATGGTCTGACGGCTCCACCAGAAGGAGGGTTTAAGACTTCAACACACACGGTAACATGCTCATCTGTCTCAGTCCCCGTGTATGTTGTGGAGCTAAACCCAACAATCATAACTGTAAAAAAGTGTTTGTGAATGTGAGACGCAGATTTCTCATATGACTGTATACCTCAATACACACTTACCATCATCGTCACCTATGATAGCTAGATGTGCAGCAGAAGCTGACAGCTCAATCCTACTGTCTAAAGTATCAGATCTCTCCAGCATGATTGGGAATGATTCATCTGCCTCAGCTATACTATCATCCTGCACTTGTACAGTAGCACAAGCTTTATCTTGGCAAGCATCAAACTCCAGTGGAACTTGTGTTTGAGCAAAATCTGATGAAAAAAAGAGAGATTTATTAATTCATGTGTTGTGAAAAGTTGAACTGTAGTAAGTACTGAATCTTGTTATGCATCATACCGTCAGTGGTGGTGTTAACTTTAAGAATCACTTCAAATTCGAATCCCACTGCACAGTCTGAGTAATTGTTGGCTATGATTGCACAGATATTAGCATTGCGGTGACTCTCTGATGCAGTGTATCCTGTCTCTTCCAGTTGCACCAACACAGGAGCTGTCATGGAAAGATACAATGGAAGGGCATTATATTTATTGTCAGAAGAGCTGTTATGGATTTTGTTATAATGTTTACTCTGAGAAGTTAAATGACAGAATATTGTTTTCTCTGTACATGAATGCTACAGTAGAAACCAAAACGTGATGCAGATGTCTTGTTTGACCTGTTTCTTCGTCCACAATTGTAATCTGAAGTCTTGTTTCATTCAGAGATACATTAGTTCTGGCAGCAGTTGTCCCTAGTTCCACTAACACATCAAATGTCTCATTGAGCTCCAGTACAGAGTCATCATGGACGGATACATTCACACAGAGAGATTTCGAACATTTTGGAAAGAGCTCTGCTTGATGTCTGATGACACTAAAGTCTCCTGGAGACTCTGTAGTATGTGGCGTATACAACAGTTACTGGGAGAAGATATCAAATACAAATAACAACACAGTAACAGTTAAGCTGTAGCCTGATCTGTGTCAGTGTGCAGTAACATTGTATTATATATAATTATATAGAACTCCTCAAAACGTAATCAATTGAGAAATGCTGGACCTACAATTAAAAAAATTGTACAACAGAACAATAGCAATAAATGGCATTAAAATGAGATCTACTTTTCTATATGCTCTACTGGGTAAGATACAAACTCATACATACCTGCAGTCCCATTAATAGTAGAGATGTACACCACAAATGAGAAACTGAGAGGACAATCATTAATTGGGTGCTCAATGACAAGACAGAATTGGGCTTCTTCAGCATCTTCATTGACCTTTACAAACGTACTCTCTAATCCTAGAACTGCAGCTACATTGCAAAAAGTGAGTAGCTATTGTCAAAATCTATCTCTGTGTTTCACACAAACTTACAGCCTTCACAAGCATCACCCACACCATTGCCATCTGTATCTGCTTGATCTGGATTGCCGACATGAGGGCAGTTGTCTCTGTTGTTTACTAGAGTGGGGGGATACAACACTTAGTGAGAGTGTCGGGCAAGACAGGCACATCAGTAATGATTAGACATTTAACTTCATGGAACACTTAGTGAGAGTGTAACCAAAGGCATGGAGCACTTAACGAGACTATAAGAAGCAGAGCATGACAGGTATATCAGTTACTAGTTACTTACTAGGCACGTCTGCATTATTAGGCATGTTTATGCAACATTACTTCCTCTTTGCTTTCCAAAATGTGTGTTTGTAACTCACAAACAGTGTCATTGTCATTGTCAGGTGAAACATGTGGGTCACACTTATCCCCAATCCTATCACCATCATAGTCCACCTGGCCAGGGTTTGGCAGGTTTGGACAATTATCGCAGGCGTCTCCAAACCTATCGCTATCAGAGTTAGTCTGGTCCGGGTTAGGCACTTGTGGGCAATTGTCACGGTAGTCCCCATCACCATCTGAGTCAGAGTCAACCTCATCTGGATCAGCAATATCAATACAGAAGTCATCATCACCATCTTGACCCTGGTCAAATCGTTCATCAAAGATTCCATCATTATCATCATCAAGATCACAAACATTTCCAACTCTATCACCATCGGCGTCAGTCTGGTTAGTATTTGGGGTTCCTCGGCAGTTGTCACAGGCATCTCCAACACCATCACCATCACAGTCTCCCTGGTCAGGGTTAGCCACCAGTTGACAGTTGTCAAATTGATCGTCGACCCCGTCATTATCGTTATCAGGATCACAAGCGTTTCCAAACAAATCAACATCAGAGTTTGACTGATTTTGGTTAGGCACCTCAGGGCAATTGTCGCAAATGTCTCCAATTCCATCATCATCGGTGTCAGGCTGGTTAGTATTTGGGGTTCCTCGACAGTTGTCACAAGCATCTCCAACACCATCACCATCACAGTCTCCCTGGTCAGGGTTAGCCACCAGTTGACAGTTGTCTAATTTATCGTCGACCCCGTCGTTATCGTCATCAGGATCACAAGCGTTTCCAACACCAGAGTTTAACTGATTTTGGTTAGGCAACTCAGGGCAATTGTCACAAATGTCTCCAACTCTATCATGGTCAATATCAGACTGGTCGGGATTATATAGAAATTCACAATTGTCCTGTCAAAAACAGAAAGTGAATTAAGGTCATGTCAACATGTTATCTAATATGTGGGTAATGCAAAGGCTTGCCCCTCTCTGTCTTTGATAATTAAAACAGCTCTCAGATTGGCATTATGTTCGCAGCTATAAAGTTATTCACCCGAGCAGAAGTACTATATGCGGTGTAGGTTCCCACTGCACGTGCGCCTGCCGCTGTCGTTTGCTAAATGTAGGCCAAATGCATCAAATAAGCTTTTAGATATTCCACGGCACGGAACATCGGAGATCTTATTGCTGCTGATCTACTCTTTTTTAACCCTCGGCACGTATGTGGAGCAAGAATCATAGTACTTGGTTTGTAAGTGTGTGTGTCTTCCTGTCTTCTGTCTGTTAGATTTGCCGCCACCACGCGGAACAAGCCAGCCGACTGGGGTACCAACAGTGGCTGATATTGAAACCACTGTGTTCAAATGTTACACCGTGAAAATTGTTACAAAACAGTTTCCCTCACATTATTGTCAACAATGCAGTCCTTATCTTCATCACTAGCATCTTCAGGAATGCACATCCGCACAGATACACCACCACCACCACTCATATAACAAGATATTTGTCCAGTATTACAACCTGAAATAAAACAACCATTTTTTTCAAAACTTGGTTGTCATACGGTTCAAACAACATAATGTGGACTAATGGGCAATAGCTCAGAATTGATTAGGGTATATATAGAGGGGGTTCAAAACAAGAGGTTGCTAAAAAGGCACAGTAAACTACATCTCTGTATTTCCAAGAAAATCACAGCCGCTGCCAATGTAGAGAGACTCGTGCACTCTTATGATTAAGACAGTGTCACGTAGCTTTGTGTGCCTTTCCTGTTTAACCACACCCTTGTTTATTGAAGTACATAATGAATGCTGCAGTGGGACTCCCGATAATGAACTCCCCCAACAGCAAAAACTTCTCTATGATGAACTAATTCCCATGGACCAAAGTTACTGTCATTAAGAATTGATCTGCCATTTTGGGCACAGCAGTAGCTATATACCATTATTGGTTGGCCGTCCATCACAGCTATCTGCAGAGCAGATCTGCGATAGTCCTGCATGGAAAAGTTATGGCAGAGCATTTTATCCCATTTTTGAGTCAGTGTGACCTTACCATATTGCAAAATATTTATGATGCAAATTAATGAAGTTAGCAGAGTCCACGGTAAAGCATGCATTCTGACCAGAAAGGAAACCTGTGAAGGACAAAAAAGAGTTAAAATCCTGTGTGGATACTGAGCTAAGCTTATAAATATCTACCCATGCTTCCCTCTTCTTGAGGGGTATATATTATATACTATTTGTAGTCCAACTTCAAACAACCCGGTGCTTGCTGTATTCTGAGCTGTGGGCTGCGGGCTGCACCGGTATCAGTATTGGACAGGAAGTCCTTATCACAACATCTAGCGCTGGGCGTAGTGCAAATTGTCTGGCTTCCAAAGTTTACACAACAGTCATTAGTGCAGGATGCAGAAATTCAGCATTGTGATTGGCTAGTTGGACTACAAATCAGTTAACGTCAGGCGTCTTGGCGCGTACAGGAAATCCTCCTCGGCTGTTAACTATACCGGCCTACGCCCTCGTCTGGTATAGTCAACAGCCTCGGAGTATCGCCCGCCTATACGTTAACTAATACATAATAATGTATATTGGTTATATCCTGCTCCTGGGTATTATTATAGGAAAGATGGTTAGTGTAACCAACTCAAAGCAGGATGGACAACCCTGGGCGCATTAGCTATCAAAGTGAATCGTTGAAGCTGAGCCAAAAAAGGGGTTACCAACACTTTGGAGTATTAATTAGCTAACTGATAACAGTACATGGCGACAGGGATCAAGAATTAATCATATATACAGCATTCACTTTGATGATCCCTGTATAATTAATGCAAGACGGGAAGAGAGTGTGAAGTAAGACACTCAAAGGCAAAAGCTAAGGAGAAAGTAGGGTAGGGGAATAAACAATCACACAGAAGAGGGGTACATTGGCAGTGCATGCGGTTGCTTTGTTGCCTTGTCCCATCAAAATAGCTAGCTACCTCAAGACTGAAGATTAGACGAAAAAGCTCCTTCAAGCACACTAACACATTGGTGCATGCCTGGCTACAGTAATACCACTTGCTATGACCCCGAGAGAAACTACATTTAGCTATCGCTGAGAGAAACTACATTAGCTATCGTGTGTACACAGTGTTATACGTAGTTCCAAGGTCCACTTTTTCAACCGTGCACGCGCGGTCGGAACACCGGTGCGCGTCCGCCCTTCACGAAGGATCTTTATCCACTGGAAAATAATACTTAGGAAAAGGAGAAATATAAACAACATAAGCATAATTGCACTACTCACCGGTCAAAGAGTCTCGCACACACACACTGCGCTGAACCGTCCGTTTCGTCCGCTGTTTTTCGCGCATGCGTATACAAAAGTGGAGGACTGTCCATGTATTTGGACTCAGGTGACTTACCAGTCACCATATACCCTTTTATTATGTACTCTGTTCTTTTTAGCCATCCTCTCTTAACTGCCTTTAGTCATCATTGTTTCAGTTCCTCCTTTCTTATCTACCACAATGTGTGGCAGGTATATACACAAATTAACCTCTGCATTATCTAGTCGGTGGATGTCTTTAATAAAAACTACTACCCATCCTTTGAACCACGATGCTAGCTACGTGGACACATGAATGCTTCTTGATGTAACATAGTAGCTATAGCTAGCGCAATACGGCCACAGTGAATTACTATTGAGTTGGTACAAAAGTCACTGTAAACTGTCGAGGACGACTCTGTTTCCAGCAGAGGAAGTGGTCAGATAGCTGAGGGTAGCCAGAGTCCCTCTGTAAGAGACCACTCAACCTCACAACTAAACTCTTGAACTTTGGGCAAACGCGAGGTTCCTGCGACAGACACAACATCATAATCTCGTATCTGAGAAGTCGGGGATACTGAGTTAGCTATGCTAAAGATAAAGAACACAGACAAGCCAAACAATGTACCCATTGCTGCACAAACATGCATACACATCACACGCTCTCATAAACAATCATGCAAGCATCAACGGTTCACAAGGAAAAGCAAAACTAACCACTACACCTGAGAAAGCTCTTTTTTAAAGGAAAAAAGAGCTACCCTGGCTAGTGGGATTCAAACCCACGACACAGTGCAGTCTAGGCAGAGCACTCAGCTACCAGGAATAACACATAGCTACACATGAGTGGGACACACAGGATACATTACATGACAACTCTCCCCACACAATCCTGTGACTCATGAACTCACATAAAACAGGAACAAAAGTACACACGGACATTGGCATGGAGCTATACACACCAGATTCTCTGGGCCAACTTCCTAAATTGGCTCTGGAATGTCCCTCACATTTCAACACTGCAGGCCTCATTGTCAGGTCTCTCCAGTCTCTGTTTGCCCTGCAGTTCCTTCAGGAGACCCATGGCTGGAATACCAGTGTATGGGATCCTCCCACAAGTGAAGATCTCCCACACCGTCACTCCAAATGACCACCGGAGACAGGTCACCACACCTCAGAGCAGTATAGTCAGCAATGCAGACAACTTCACCCTCACCTGTGTAGCCTCAGCTTACCCTCTCCCAAACATCAGCAGGTGGCATAACTCTAGTTCCCCCAGGCAGTGGGCGAGAGTACGTTGCACATCGGCAGTCTGACGCTGGCAAAGGCTTTGCCAGTTTTCCCCCAGCTAGGTGACCCAACCTGTATTTCTATTGCATCGATGCAGAGCAGCTAATCTCTATGATATTTAACAAACTCTAATACACTCCCGTTGCTCATGAAGGGCATGATGAGTAGGGGTATGTCTCCATTAAGACATACTCCCACCAGAAACATGATATTAGTATGTTCGAACGACAACATGGTAGACACCTCCTTTACCAATCGTTCTGCATCACTGGCGGAACAAAGGGCTATACGGAAGTAGAACATGTGTATGACCAGCCCTCCATCTCTCCAGACAGACGTCTATGGCACGCATGCGAACATTACCAGCCAGCCATTAAAAAGTCTTAATGTTCTGAACTAGCTGAAGTAGTCCAGGCATTGTTTTAGGCAAAAAAACAATTCTAAATTCAAAACCAATTGGGCCAGCCTTCCATCTCCCCAGACAGACGTCTACGGCTGCAGTGCTATGCCGAACTATACGCTACTCTTTGGGAAACGTGCGCCAATGGTACAAGTTGAGCAAAACTTGATGTCACTCTGCAACTGCATTTGTAGAGACTCAAACCCCCTGTGCAGATGAAACTTCCTCGTATAATAACCACAAACATCGAGTACACTTAATTTTTGTAACTGGATATGGCAAAATAAAAATATAAGCTACACCTTTAACTTTTGGAAATTAGGATGTTTTGCAATGGTGGCGCCACTAGCGTAGAAGCTTCAACATCTACTAAATTCAAACTCCTAACCAGTGGTGCAGTCACGCGTGAGGAATATGAAAAATAGCTCGAGGGCCTGCAGGGTGGATTCAACCATGCAGTATTTGCAAATTCCGTTGTGTGCTGCGAACTTTGCACTCCCACAAAAGGTGGGACACTATGCTGTACAAACATAGGTACATTTCCAACAATCAGATACATTACTTTATCACAGACTTATGTGTACATGTAATTTATAACACGTCACGTTCTAGGACGTTTTGATCAGTAGTTTTCATCTCATACTTCATCTTCAGCCTCGTTCTCCGCTGCAGCAATTCCCTGTTCCTGGGTGACAGGAAGAGCAGCAGTAGGTGGAGAAGAGGGTGGAGGGGTGTGAGAGACAGTCTCCTTCCAGCAGAGAGACTGAGCAGACAAATCCAGGTAGTCTGACTCCCTCTCAAGAAGATCACTGAAGCTGCCCACCAAATCCTTGAACAGCGGACGAGCATGGGAGTCCAGTGACCAGCAACTCATCATGATCTCATATCTGTTGAGAAATTGTAACCAGGTCCAGTTTTGTGACGTAAATGTGAGGTTCCTTACACTTCATCCAGACAGGCCTCATTGTCAGGTCTCTCCAGTCTCTGTCCTCTCTGCAGTTCCTTCAGGAGACCCATGGCTGGAATACCGGTGTATGGGATCCTCCCACAAGTGAAGATCTCCCACACCGTCACTCCAAATGACCACTGGAGACAAGTCACCACACTTCAGAGCAGTAGTCATGGTGTGTATTATCTGAACGTACCACATCAGTGGCCTCATTGTAGATGTCCTCCTCAATGCTCTCGGGAGCGGTCCCATACATGTCCTCAGTTAGTCCAAAATCTGCTACCTTTATCACTCCATCACGGTCAATCCTATGTGGAAATTAGCCACAGAGTATGCCTCAACAACAAGCTGTCTTACATGCAGTTCCTAGCTGCCATATCGCGATGAACAAACTTCTCCATTGCTAGATACTCCATACCCTTTGTGATTTGGTGACATATATTTAAAAGACTTTTCGTGGCCGATTGGATCTGTTGAGAGTGTTGGTATCATATCCTAACGAAATAGTACTAAAATGAAGACTCAACCTGTGGTGCTGTTGCATTAATGCAAAGCAGTTCCTCCCTGTGGTGTTTAACAAACTCCAAAACACATCCATTAGACATAAACGGCATAATTAGTAGGGGTATCTCCTCCTCAATACACACTCCCACAAGAGACATGACATTGGGGTGCTCAAATGATAACATGGTAGCCACCTCTTTAGCTAGTCGTTCCATATCACCACTGGAAAATAGTGCTGCAAATACACAGACACATGATACATATTTATTGTTTATGTGCAGGAGCATATATAACCTTTTCCAGTTTTGACAGCAACCAGTTCCTTCCCTAATGCAGTGTTCAGATATCCCTTGTACACCAGCCCTGACTCTCCTGAAACAACAATCAGTGTGATAGAGCTTTGCCAGGAAAGCTGGCTAATACAACACCTTGGCCGACTGTACTGGTAAGCTCAAGATCTCTCTTGGAAAATACCATCTCTTATTCTTCAACTGCTGCTTGAGTTGCTCGGACAGATAAGATCTCTTGGTTGAACCTGTAAAATATGGGGTCCTAACCACATGTTTCTAAACTTCGTGTTTTTCTTCAGATTTTTTGACTTTCTTCCAATGCATCAATAAATACTCAGTTTCGTCACACATATCATTGAAAAAGAATCTTTTCTTTTGCATGTAATACTAAAGCCATGAGGTTAAACATGCGGTCGGTATCTCCCTATCAGCAAAGCACAAGATTTAGGTCAAACATACACGAAAAGTTTCATGAACATGGCTTGTGTGGTCCACCAACATTTCCATAAACACTTTGGAGATTTTATAAAATAATTTTTTGTAACAAAGGTTTTTAGTTAATAATCTCACCGAGAGAGACATAGTTGTGTTCAGAAACTGAGAGCTGCCCTCTATACCTGTGGAATTTATATATACATTGACAGCAGAACTAAATTGATTACTCACTCTTCGAGATCAAGTCTTTTGTTGTTGTTTCTTCTTCTAAAATATAGCATGCTGACCACAACAATGGCAGCTAGTGTAATGACGACAACTATTGAAAGGATGATTGCTGCAATAGTAACTCCACTGTCATTTGATGATGCGTCAGATTGCGAACATAATATTATTTCACACTGCCTTGGTAGTTCAATAGTAACAGTAGGATCTGGTGTGTTCACATGTACACGTGGAGTCTCATCCAATACTACCAAGTTTAACTCAATTTCAATTTCACTGCAGTCAAAGTAGCCACAGATATTCACCATACCAAATTCAATTGAAATATTGAAGCACTCTGTCTGAGACGGATTAGTAAAGTTTACGGAAAAATTCAAACTATCTGCACTGAGCTTGATTAAATCTGTTAAGTCTGATGATGCACAAATGAAAAGGAATCATTATCACCGAAAAGAGAGGATATCACTTACTAGCTATTTGGTAAAATGTGACATTTGTAGTAAATGTTTCGTCAATTCCTGGAGTTGTACTAGTGACACATACTTCAGTATATCCATCCATTTCAGTTATAGTATAGCTGCTTAACTCATACTCAACCTTTACAACTGTAAAAAAACATCAACAATTTTGTGTACTGTGTTTTTGCCAGTATAACTTACAGCATTCCGGCTCTCTGCTATCATCAATCGAGACTGTTGCCCTGGACAGCGATGAGTTAATATCTAGTCGATCCGTAGAGGTCACACTAAGACGGACTTCAAACTGTGTGGTGTTTTCCATCAATTCACAGACTTTATCTGTTACTATTGTGTAATTGTGACAAATTTCAGGAGTGCCCTTCTTAAACTGCAACTCTTTATTGCACTCCAATGAGTACTGTTTGGAAACTTCGCTTCCTGAAATAAAGTACAATGCAATAATGTTTAATGACAATTAGACAGAGTTAATATATGACATATGAGAAGGTGCAGGCAAAGGCTTACCAGTATGGAAGCAGGAGTACTGGACAGGCAACTGACATGCGCAGAGCAGAGCAAGGTCACGCCCCTTACCGGGATGCCAGGCCGGAGCATGCGCAGCGGTAGATATGTAAGGCTTGCAACTGCGCAGACCGGCAGGTTTAGCGCTAAAGCACAGGCAGGCAGTCTCTGGCGGAGACTCAGCTGGTGAAGAGCAGCATCATCCACAGCTTGTGTTGACAGAATTTCATTTTTCTACATCTAGTCATGACGACCTCACCACCTCCCTCATAAGCACCCGCACCAGCCAGCAGAGAAGCGCCACTGTCGGAGGCGGTGGTTCGCAATCTCGTCCGAGAAGAGGTTGCAGCAGCGGTTGCAGTGGCACTCGCCCAACCAACTCTGGCGTCGACAGGGGGTGAGTGGGGAACGGGCAGTGGATAGCTAGCTAGCTGCGTATATAGTTATAATAAAGGTATCTAATACGCGTTGTTGAGCGGTATGCAGAAGAGCAGCAATAGGCAGCAGGGGGTCTGGTCCACTGTATCTCATATGGGCCAACCCCTCCCTGGAAATCCAGGATTGGGGTCTTCCGTGCCGCTCTCTCTCCCGTATAATCCTCTGATCCCAGCCTCGGCGGCAGTAGCAGGCAATATGCTGCAGCTGACCACCACATCCACAACGACCGCTCCCCTGTCAGCATCTGCAACCACCAAGCCAACGGGAACAACGGAACCCAAGCCAAAGCAGGCACTGTACAGGGTGGCTAACAGTATCGTGCCAATACCAGGCAAACTGGTGAAGCGGATTCAGGCCTTAGAATATGTGGACATGCGGGATCTTCTCCCTGACAACATTGCGCTGGCAGAGAGGCTGGCAGCATTGCCCTCGGGCCTAGCCCCACCAAAGCCACCTGGGGAGAGGGAGATCGGAGGCGACCAAGCTCGCTCACATGGGTGTCTTCCTTTGCTACCTACATTGCCATTGTGGTGGAAGTCTATCCCGAGGACATGTTGGCGTATTTGCGTCTCATTGTGAATGAAGCTGGTAAGTTTGGGAGCAATGGCTGGCTCACATACACATGTGTTCCGGCGCAATCAGGAAGGCCTCTCTACCCCACGGAACGTGCTGGATGTGTCCCTTCACCAAGCGTATATCGCGAACCAGGAGGTAAAAGTTGCAACACCTTGCAAGCATTGCCAGGAGGTGGCGGCTGACTGTGCGATCATGGCAGTGTTACCCCAGGTCACTAACACCACCCGCAGCATTGCTAACACTGTGCCTCCAACAAGCACCCCAGAGCGACCGGGCAAGTGCACTTATGCTCATGTGTGTATCGACTGCTATGGTAGCCATCCAGCATTATAGCCTGCCGAAAAAGGTCCTACTCCAGTGCAAGGGAAGCAGGCCACCCCTCCAGCAAAAGGGCAATGACTGGCAGGACATCGAGTCTTACAGTAGTTAACCCTCGGCGCGCATGCGCAGCGAGGGTTACAGTAGTTGGGTCTGTCTGTCTGTTACTCGACATCTCACTTCTCGAGCATGCAGGCTTACCTCGACCGGGTCCGTATGGCAAGCGAAGTGTAACAAAACTAAATGGCACGTTCAAGACACGTAAACGTACGTTGGAGACACATACGTGCGTCTAAAACGTACGTTCATACGGACGTAGGTACGTTTCAAACGTACGTTCATACTGATGGTACGTACGTCGCCATACGATTTACGCACGCGTATCCTTTATGCGCATGCGCATTATCGTACCGCGAGTGTTCGGCGCAGTTGAGTATGGCTCTATGCTACTTCGAAGGAAGGAGGAGGCCTGTGTCATTTTGTTACTCTGAAGCTAACAGCGTGAAAGAAGCTCATGATAGCCTAGAGCGAAAATAGTCATATAATCCCGGAACTCCGCGTAGGTGATCGCAAAAATCAGAGCACACAGTTATCGTGTACTCAAAATGTACCACTACATACTCGGTGTAGTTACGATTAGCTAAACCATATTGTCTCTCAGCTTCTTCAATGAATTTCATCGAAAAACAAACTGACCCCAACCATGTTCTGAGCCAGATTCTGGTTCTGAGCTTATGATACTCTCTCACATGATAGTCACATACGGCGGGATGTTTAGCATGTGACTGACCCACAGACGTGCGTATGAACGCGTCTCGAACGTACGTTTGAAACGTCCGTCCGTCCGTATGAACGTACGTTTTAGACGTACGTATGTGTCTCAAACGTACGTTTACGCGTCTTAAACGTGCCATTTAGTTTTGTTACACTTCGCTTGTTACACTTCGCTTGCCATAGGTCCGCTTGCTCTGTGTACCTTGAAGGCACAAGAAGTCACAACGAATGGCGTGTATTGACTCTCGCATGCTATCTATTACTGTAGCTATTACTGTAGCTAGCCCGTGTCAGGCTCTCTGCGAGCTAGTGGGAGACGGCGAGTAAACGCACACTAATAGCCCGGCCCGTCAATTAGCGGTACCGCGCATGCGCAGTTCGCCGAGGGTTTGCACTTCAGTGCATTTCTGTATGGACAGCAATAGGGTAGAAACCATAGGGTAGGGGTAGATGAAGTGCTCTAACGTGTACCAGTGCAGATTGATATATCATTGGGATGTGTGTGAGTGTACTAGTGCAGATGGATATATCATTGTGACATGTGTGAGTGTGAGCGTGGGTATATACAGGGATCTGTGGGTTGGTCTTAGCAATGTCAGCTAAGGTAGCAACACCTAATCATCACCCCTCTCTAGGCAGTGGTCTTATCAAAACTCTCTCCTCCTAGACCCACTGATCCTAAGGCTGGTTAACTTCAGCAGGGGGGCTATCTGTTTACCAGGGACCTACTTGCACTGGAGCAAGCATCTCCAGCAAGGTTACACCTGCCCTACCCTATGGTCACCTCATCTCCACTCCGCCCTTTGGCGTGGGAGACAGCTCTCCACAGCATCACAGACAAGGCCTTCACTACATTCCTCCTGCGAGGAATCACCCAGGGTTTCCGGATTGGCAAGCCAGTGCAGCGCAAACTCAAGTCGGCCTACGACCGCCCAGAGATCATCTCTGCATGATATCCAGCGTGAAGTCGACCTCAAACGCATGGCTCCCCTTCTCTCCCTGCCAGCCACGGCTTCACTGCAGGTTAGCCTGTTTGGGGCTATTCCAAAAAAAAAAACAAGTCCGACAAATGGCGCCTGATCGTCGACCTCTCTTCTCCGGAAGGCTATAGTGTGAATGATGCAATCTTTGCTCCGTCCTATACATATAGGGGGACAAGGCAGTAGTCTTGGCACAATCACGAGGACAGGGCTGCCTCTTAGCAAAACTGGGCCCGAAAGAAGCTTACAGGGCAGTCCCAGTCCACCCCTCGGACCAGTGCCTACTGGCAGTCTCATGGAATGGCACAACAGAGCTCTCCCATTCGGTCTGCACTCAGCCCCGAAGTTATTTTGTGCGCTAACCGATGCGATGATGTGGTTTCTTCATGACAGAGGTGTACACACAGCACTTCACTATCTTGACGACTTCCTCGTCATGTGGCCTCCAGGACAGAACAGCTGTGCAGAGGCTCTCACTACCACCCTTGCTTTGTGTGAAGAGCTTGGTTTTCCAGTTGCACCAGAGAAGACGGAAGGTCCAGCAACCACGCTTACGTTTTTGGGCATCGAAATCGACACGGAAAAATTACAACTCCACCTTCCACAGGTCAAACTCAGCCAGCTTGCTGCCACTATAGCAGGTTGGATGAGGGTGGCAGACCACCCGACTGCACGGCACTCAGGAAAGAAGCGGGAGTTACTGTCACTACTTGGGCTGCTGAACCATGCCGCCACGGTAGTGAGACCTGGGCGAGCTTTCATGCAAAACCTCATCGACGCCTCTACCACAGTAAAGGACCACTGGGTCCATCTGAATCAAGCAGCGCGGGCAGACCTCACATGGTGGCACACCTCCTTACAAGCGTGGAACGGAACGAGCATTATACCACCAACAACTCCCCCACTGGTGGTTGTCTCAGATGCCTCAGGCTCATGGGGTTGTGGGGCAGCTCATGAGAACCCCTGGTTCCAGTTGCAGTGGCCAGAAACCTGGGCTGCAGTTTCCATTGCTCCAAAAGAATTAGTCCCGATTGTGGTGGCGGCTACATTATGGGGTCTCTACTGGGCTCGTAGCAGCAGTGAACAAGGGAGCGGCGAGGTACCCCACCCACTCGCACCTCTTGGGCCCCTCCCGCGAGAAAAAACTTGCAGCGGATGAGCGTAGAGGTCGAGGACTGACGGCAAGTGTAGCGACCCGGTGCCTGCGCCAACCACCACCGCTGCTCCCGTTCTTACTCTGTATTGGCGGCCCTCCTGTAAAATGTGGGCGACCTCCTTGTAAAGCGGATCGACCTTAGACCGACCTCTTCGTGAAGTTGAGCAACTGCTACTAGTAAAGTAGACCGACCTCTTAGTAAAATGGACCGACCTCTTAGAAATGTAGACCAACCTCTAATAGTAAAGCTAAGTGGACCGACCTAAACAGTGTCAAAAATAGTACGCTAGACCCGACCTCCTCATCGACTGCGCACTATTTTTGACAATGATTACACGCCATAGAAAAGCGGACCGACCTCCAAGTAAAGTAGACCGACCTCTAATACTGAAGTACACCGACTTCAAATAGTAAAGCGGACCGACCTCTAATACTGAAGTACACCGACTTCCAATAGTAAAGCGGACCGACCTCTCCAGTAAAGTGGACCGACCTCTTCATCGACCGCGCGTGCGTACTACTGATTACACGCCATATTTGTTGCGGCGGTTCTAGACTAGCAGGTATTAGCACGTCACCTTCCAGGGCTGTAAAATTCCCCAGCGGATGCCCTGTCGCGAGACAGACTTCCACTCTTTTTCTCTCTTAACCCACAGGCATCGCCAGTACCAACTATCACCCCCAGCGAGCTCCAGGAGCTGGTGTTCAACCGCAGCCTGCAGTGGATATCGCCAGTCTGGACAGCGCTGTTGAGCACTTCCTGCGTTGCAGATATGTGGCATGCAGGGGAGGGGCTCAAACATCGCACAATGAAGGCTTACTTGTCAGCTATTCGCTGCCTGCAGATACAGAATGAGATGGGCAACCCTTTTATAAGTCGATCTATGCCACGTCTGGAATATGTGCTTGGGGGGATCAAGCGCGTGGAGGCCTCCTCAGGCCGCCAGACACGCACAAGACTGCCAATTATTCCAGACATACTGATCAAGCTGCAGGACATATATTATGGCTAGCTCCACCAGTACAGCCTGACACCCTAATGCTGTGGGCGGCTGCCTGCATAGGCTTCTTTGGCTTTCTGCGGGCAGGAGAATTCACGGTACCATCCCCTGAGGCATATGACCCAGAGGTGCATCTCAACCTCTGAGATCTCGCTCTAGACAGCCACACACACCCAACTCTGGTCTGCCTCAAAATCAAACAGAGCAAGAAAGATCCATTCAGACAAGGTGTAGAGGTGTTTCTGGGGCGTACAGGCCATTGTGCCCAGTACAGGCCTTGATCCAATACCTGGGGGTGCGCTCCCCAACACCAGGACCCGTGTTCGTTCTCTCTACAGGATCTCACCTATCAAGGAGTCATCTATAGTGGCAAACCAACACACAGCACTCAGGCAAGCAAGCTTGGATGAATCAAGGTACAATGGCCACAGTTTTCGAATTGGGGCAGCAACGACTGCCGCTCAACAGGGCCTTGAAGACTCCCTCATCCAGACACTGGGCAGGTGGCGAGTGTGCCCAGAGCTCTGGCTCGAGGCCAATGAGTACACGGCACTTATGTATATATACACCATGTGATGCCAAGAGAAAAAAGATGCGGAGCTCTGGACAGCTGTATGCATATCATGTGACATATTGAAAGTTTAGTATTATGTTCACGGGTTTCCAAAGGGGGTGGGTAGAGGTAGAGAGCATGGGGCAAAGCTGCAATCAGCTTTTATGGCAGAGGGTCAGCCATGCTGGCTAGATGCCCATGCTCCACCACAGAAAAGGGGGTGTGATGCAAGGAATAGCCACAAACATGCCACTAGGCCAATTAGCAGTGGGGCAAGCTTTGCATGATACATAGGTAATATGCTTATATAACAGGGGAAAGCCTCTAGCAGAGAAATAAGGGGAAAAGATTAGGGCCCCTGTATTTTAGGCTATTAACAAAATTGCCCTGCAACATTGACCCTTGCACGATACCTCCAATCCAACCCAATTAGTGAATGAGGGTTGGGGCCCTCGGTTGCACGAGCAAGATTATAGTATGTTGCACTACAGATATTTTCCCCGGTGGGTTCAAACATTCATCTAGCTACCTTCTTTAGGAAACATGGTGATGCTGAATGGTCTGACGGCTCCACCAGAAGGAGGGTTTAAGACTTCAACACACACAGTAGCATGCTCATCTGTCTCAGTCCCCATGTATGTTGTGGAGCTAAACCCAACAATCATAACTGTAAAATGTGTTTGTGAATGTGAGACACAGATTTCACATATCAGAGCGTCGGTAGACGTTCTATATATAGGGATGACACGAGTGAAATCTCACATGATCCGCGTACAAAACGCCTCAAAACTCAACGACAATGATTCACCATGGCTTCAAAATCACTAGCAATAGTCTAGAGGCCAATACCTAGCTATACATATGCCCCAAGACTTCCTACGTGCCCTCAGTTCCCCATGAGAGAATTCGCACTTACGCGATTTCGTGTCATCATAATCATCATAATTTATTCTTCTTCTTCAGACCCGCTAGCTCCTTACCGGAAGCAGTTGAAGCGTTGATTTTTTCACAGAACGTCTCCAAATTTGCAGGAGGTGTGCACGCATAGCTATCAAGCGATCGCTTGTTTCTTGCCGCAAGTCACTACGGTAGATCGTTGAGCTCTTCCACAGTAGTCACTGGACAACGCCATTTGCTGCTAACACAGCATCAGTGAGCCGCATGCGCCGAGGAGGGCGTTTCCCCAATGCGGTGCGCGCGCATTTCCATAGTCCCGTGCGTGAACGAGGTCTACGAGACTAAGCCAGAGGAACTCTTATCCTCCAGTGCCTTCTGTAAGTCAGTATACACATTTTTAACTGGCTAGCTTGCGTTTTGCTGTTGATTTGCACGAGGAGCTACTTGGCAGTGTGCGCCGTGTTACGCGGGCCTTGCCCAGCGCCTTCATTGTTTGTCCCCCAAGTTATAGCTATCATTGTAGTCTGATTACTGAAGCCTGCCTACGAAACCACCCCACCATATGTGCCACAATCTAATTGCATCGTTGTTGGAGACACTACGCATACACCCTGCCTCAGGTACATTAGCTTCTGCTTTCAACAGTAATCTCTACAACACCCATGAACATAAGAGTGACTGAAAATGCAGAAGGAATGAAAAATAGTGGAAACAAGTGGAAAAATCATTTCTTCAAAATGAAGGGGGATATAGGGATGGCTTGAAGCACCAAAAAGGAAGAAACAAGGGGTCATTACACAGCAAAGATGCACCAAGCTACATGACACCATCCCTATATCTTTGTCTCATATTAAACTTTACTTGTGAACTATTATAGCTATAACACAAAGATATAGGGATGGTGTCATGTAGCTTGGTGCATCTTTGCTGTGTAATGACCCCCTTGTTTCTTCCTTTTTGGTGCTTCAAGCCATCCCTATATCCCCCTTCATTTTGAAAAAATTATTTTTCCACTTGTATACGTATACCTCTCTTACCATCATCGTCACCTATGATAGCTAGATGTGGAACAGATGCCGACAGCTCAATCCTACTGTCTAAAGTATCAGAACTCTCCAGCATGACTGGGAATGATTCATCTGCCTCAGCTATACCATCATCCTCCACTTGTATAGTAGCACAAGCTTTGTCTTGACAAGCATCAAACATCAGTGAAACTTGTGTTTGAGCAAAATCTAAATGAGAGATTTATTAATTCATGTGTTGTGATTGTGTGTTGTGCAAGTACTATGCATCATACCGTCAGTGGTGGTGTTAACTTTAAGAATCACTTCAAAATCGAATCCCACTGCACAGTCTGAGTAATTGTTGGCTATGATTGCACAGATATTAGCGATGCTGTGACTCTCTGATGCAGTGTATCCTGTCTCTTCCAGTTGCACCAACACATGAGCTGTTTGTTATGGAAAGATACAATGGAAGGGCATTATATTTATTGTCAGAGGGGCTGTTATGGATTTTGTTGCAATGTTTACTCTGAGAAGTTAAATGACAGAATATTGTTTTCTCTGAATGCTACAGTAGAAACCAAAACGGATTCTGATGCCTTGTTTGACCTGTTTCTTCGTCGACAATTGCAATCTGAAGTTTTGTTTCATTCAGAGATACATTAGTTCTGGCAGCAGTTGTCCCTAGTTCCACTAACACATCAAATGTCTCATTGAGTTCCAGAACAGGGTCGTCATGGACGGATACATTCACACAGAGAGATTTCGAACAGTTTGGAAAGAGCTCTGCTTGATGTCTGATGACACTAAAGTCTCCTGGAGACTCTGTAGTATGTGGTGTATACAACAGTTACTGGGAGAAGATATCGAATAGAAACACAGTAACAGTGCCTTATAATGGGTGTCAGGAGGTTGATTCACAAGCTGTGACAATTTAGAATTAACAAAGATTTTATCCGTATTAAAGCAGTGCGCAGTAACCTAGTACATAGAACAGCTCGAAACCTAATAAAGCTATTGAAAAAAGGCAGAAATGCTGGACCTACAACAAAACAACTGAGCAATAGTATTAAAATGAAATCTTTTACTTTTCTGCACACTCTACTGGCTAACAAGATACAAACTCATACATACCTGCAGTCCCATTAATAGTAGAGATATACACCACAAATGAGAAACTGAGAGGGCAATCACTCATTGGGTGCTCGATGACAAGACAGAATTGGGCTTCTTCAGCATCTTCATTGACCTTTAGAAACGTACTCTCTAATCTGATAACTGCAGCTACATTGCAAAAAGTGAGTAGCTATTTTCAAAAACCGTCTCTGTGTTTCACACAAACTTACAGCCTTCACAAGCATCACCCACACCATTGCCATCTGTATCTGCTTGATCTGGATTGCTGACATGAGGGCAGTTGTCTTTGTTGTTTACTAGAGTGGGGGGATACAACACTTAGTGAGAGTGTCGGGCAAGACAGGCACATCAGTAATATATTTTAATTTCATAGGCACATCTGCATTAGGTGGCAATGTTTATAACCAAAAAGCATAGTACACTTAGGGAGACTATAGGAGGCGGAGCATGACAGGTGCATCAATTACTGATAAGTAGATATAGCTTATTATAGGCACGTCGCATTAGGTGGAAACCAGGCATGTTTATGCAACATCACTTCCTCTTTGCTTTCCAAAATGTGTTTGTAACTCACAAACAGTGTCATTGTCATTGTCAGGTGAAACATGTGGGTCACACACATCCCCAATCCTATCACCATCATAGTCCACCTGGCCAAGGTTAAACAGGTATGGACAATTGTCACAGGCGTCTCCAAACCTATCGCCATCAGAGTCAGTCTGGTCGGGGTTGGGCACTAGTGGACAATTGTCACGGTAGTCCCCATCACCATCTGAGTCAGAGTCAACTTGATCTGGATCAGCAACATCAATACAGAAGTCTTCATCACTATCTTGACCCTGGTCAAATCGTTCATCAAACATTCCATCATTATCATCATCAAGATCACAAATATTTCCAACTCTATCATTATCGGTGTCAGTCTGGTTAGTATTTGGGGTTCCTCGGCAGTTGTCACAAGCATCTCCAACACCATCACCATCACAGTCTCCCTGGTCAGGGTTAGCCACAAATTGACAATTATCAAATTGATCATTGACCCCGTCGTTATCGTCATCAGGATCACAAACGTTTCCAAACAAATCAACATCAGAGTTAAACTGATTTTGGTTATACACCTCAGGGCAATTGTCGCAAATATCTCCAACTCTATCACGGTCAATATCAGACTGGTCGGCATTATGTATAAATTTACAATTGCCCTGTCAAAAATAGAAAGTGAGTTAAGGTCATGTCAACATCTGTCTGTAGTGGGTAATGCAAGGGCTTGCCCCTCTCTGTCTTTGATAATTAACCCTCGGCGCGCATGCGCAGCGAGGGTTACAGTACTGGTCTGTCGGTCTGTCTGTCTGTCTGTCTGTCTGTCCACGCGAGTTCTCGCACTACAGGCTACGAGGCGGCCAATGAGTGGCACCAACGGCTTTTGAACAACGAGAAGATGGATACAACGTGGCGATTTGCCTGAAACGACTGCGTTCCAGAGATATGGCATGAGAACAAGCGAAAAAGCCAACGTCGAGGCCAGTGTGTGATCGATTGCGCACGCGCCATCGCCGGCAGGCTACTCTGGCGCACACGCGTCATGTCAGGAGTATGCGCATACGGCACGTTGTTCCGACGGCGGCTGGGGAAGCATTCCTCTGTCACTTTTGATCTCTGTTCTCTTTGTTCCCAATGGATAAGAAGCTGAGAAAGGTATGTCCGCAATGTAGCATAACAGTTCACATGAGACGAGCAGTTTGTGGATGCGGCCATGCCTTCCATCTAAACGTTAAAAGCACAGTCTGGCACTGCATGTCGCAAGCATTGAAACACAGAAGAGCCCTGATAGATTGAATAAAGCAAATGTGAGAGCCTTTGTAACACCTGAGCAATTGCTCTAACCGCTAAGCCCTCTGATGCAACTTACGGTGAGACTCGTATTACTGGCTCCGTCGAAGACGCATGGCCTAGCATACAGCAACGCTACAACGCGCGCGTTTGCGCCGAGGGTTTGCACTTTAGTGCTTCAGCTCTCAGACTGGCATTATGTTCGCAGCTATAAATTTATGCACCTGAGCAGAAGTACTAGGTGCAGTGTAGGAGAGGTCACTGACAAGGCCGTATGTACCCTGCACATGTACAGTGTGTGCCTGCGGCTCTCGTTTGCTAATTGTAGGCCAAATGCATCTAATAAGCTTTTAGATATTACACGGCGCGGAACATCGGAGAGATCTTATTGCTGCTGATCTTTAACCCTCGGCACGTACGTGGAGCAAGAATCACAGTACTTGGTTTGTAAGCGTGTGTGTGTCTTCCTGTCTTCTGTCTGTTAGATTTGCCGCCGCCACGCGGAACAAGCCAGCCAAATGGGGTACCAACAGTTCAGCACACTGGCTGATATTGAAACCACTGCGTTGAAATGTTACAGCGTGAAAAATTGTTACACAACAGTTTCCCTCACATTTTCGTCAAAAATGCCGCCAGAATCCGTGCCTGTAGCATATTCTATGCACACCCTCTTAAATGGATGTTGACTAATAATTTTATAAATTAAACAACCTGGAATAAAACAAACATTGGGTGGTCATACGGTTCAAACAACATAATGTGGACTAATGGGCAATAGTTCAGAATTGATTAGGGTATATATGGAGGGGGTTCAAAACACCAAGAAACAAGAGGTTACTAAAAAGCAAAGGCACAGTAAACTACATCTCTGTAATTCCAAGAAAATCACAGCCGCTGCCAATGTAGAGAGACTCATGCACTCTTATGATTAACACAGTGTCACGTAGCTTTGTGTGCCTTTCCTGTTTAACCACACCCTTGTTTATTGAAGTACATAATGAATGCTGCAGTGGGATTCCTGATAATGAACTCCCCCAACAGCGAAAACTTCTCTATAATGAACTAATTCCCATGGACCAAAGTTACTGTCATTAAGAATTGATCTGCCATTTTGGGCACAGCAGTAGCTATATACCATTATTGGTTGGCCGTCCATCACAGCTATCTGCAGAGCAGATCTGCGATAGTCCTGCATGGAAAAGTTATGGCAGAGTATTTTATCCCATTTCTGAGTCAGTGTGACCTTACCATATTGCAAAATATTTATGATGCAAATTAATGAAGTTAGCAGAGTCCACGGTAAAGCATGCATTCTGACCAGAAAGGAAACCTGTGAAGGACAAAAAAGAGTTAGAATCCTGTGTGGATACTGAGCTAAGCTTATAAATATCTACCCATGCTTCCCTCTTCTTGAGGGGTATATATTATATATTATTTGTAGTCCAACTTCAAACAACCCGGTGCTAGCTGTATTCTGAGCTGTAGGTTGCGGGCTGCACCGGTATATATCAGTATTGGACAGGAAGTCCTTATCACAACATCTAGCGCTGGGCGTAGTGCAAATTGTCTGGCTTCCAAAAGTTTACACAACAGTCATTAGTTCATTACTGCAGGATGCAGAAATTCAGCATTGTGATTGGCTAGTTGGACTACAAATCAGTTAACGTCAGGCGTCTTGGCGCGTACAGGAAATCCTCCTCGGCTGTTAACTATACCGGCCTCGGGCTACGCCCTCGTCTGGTATGGTCAACAGCCTCGGAGTATCGCCCGCCTATACGTTAACTAATACATAATAATGTATATTGGTTATATCTTGCTCCTGGATATTATATGGTTAGTGTAACCAACTCAAAGCAGGATGGACAACCCTGGGCACATTAGCTATCAAAGTGAATCGTTGAAGCTGAGCCAAAAAAGGGGTTACCAACACTTTGGAGTATTAATTAGCTAACTGATAACAGTACATGGCGACAGGGATCAAGAATTAATCATATATACAGCATTCACTTTGATGATCCCTGTATAATTATTGAAAGACGGGAAGAGAGTGTGAAGTAAGACACTCAAAGGCAAAAGCTAAGGAGAAAGGATAGTATATAGGAGAATAAACAATCGCAGAGAAGAGGGGTACATTGGCAGTGCATGCGGTTGCTTTGTTTCCTTGTCCCATCAAAATAGCTAGCTACCTCAAGACCGAAGATTAGACGAAAAAGCTCCTTCAAGCACACTAACACATTGGTGCATGCCTGGCTACAGTAATACTACTAGCTATGACCCCGAGAGAAACTACATTAATAGCTATCGCTGAGAGAAACTACATTAGCTATCGTGTGTACACAGTGTTATACGTAGTTCCAAGGTCCACTTTTTCAACCGTGCACGCGCGGTCGGAACACCGGTGCGCGTCCGCCCTTCACGAAGGATCTTTATCCACTGGAAAATAGTACTTAGGAAAAGGAGAAATATAAACAACATAAGCATAATTGCACTACTCACCGGTCAAAGAGTCTCGCAGACACACACACTGCGCTGAACCGTCCGTTTCGTCCGCTGTTTTTCGCGCATGCGTATACAAAAGTGGAGGACTGTCCATGTATTTGGACTCAGGTGACTCACCAGTCACCATATACCCTTTTATTATGTACTCTGTTCTTTTTTAGCCATCCTCTCTTAACTGCCTTTAGTCATCATTGTTTCAGTTCCTCCTTTCTTATCTACCACAATGTGTGGCAGGTATATACACAAATTAACCTCTGCATTATCTAGTCGGTGGATGTCTTTAATAAAAAACTACTACCCATCCTTTGAACCACGATGCTAGCTACGTGGACACATGAACGCTTCTTGATGTATCATAGTAGCTATAGCTAGCACGATACGACTACAGTCATTCACTACAGAGTTGGTACAAAAGTCACTGTAAACTGTCGAGGACGACTCTGTTTCCAGCAGAGGAAGTGGTCTGATAGCTGAGGGTAGCCAGAGTCTCTCTGTAAGAGACCACTCAACCTCACAACTAAACTCTTGAACTTTGGGCGAACACGAGGTTCCAGCGACAGACACAACATCATAATCTCGTATCTGAGAAGTCGGGGATACTGAGTTAGCTATGCTAAAGATAAAGAACACAGACAAGCCAAACAATGTACCCATTGCTGCACAAACATGCATACACATCACACGCTCTCATAAACAATCATGCAAGCATCAACGGTTCACAAGGAAAAGCAAACAACTTAACCAGCTACACCTGAGAAAGCTCTTTTTTAAAGGAAAAAAAAGCTACCCTGGCTGGATTCAAACCCACGACACAGTGCAGTCTAGGCAGAGCACTCAGCTACCAGGAATAACACATAGCTACACATGAGTGGGACACACAGGATACATTACATGACAACTCTCCCCACACAATCCTGTGACTCATGAACTCACATAAAACAGGAACAAAAGTACACACGGACATTGGCATGGAGCTATACACACCAGATTCTCTGGGCCAACTTCCTAAATTGGCTCTGGAATGTCCCTCACATTTCAACACTGCAGGCCTCATTGTCAGGTCTCTCCAGTCTCTGTCCTCTCTGCAATTCCTTCAGGACACCCATGGCTGGAATACCAGTGTATGGGATCCTCCCACAAATGAAGATCTCCCACACCGTCACTCCAAATGACCACTGGAGACAAATCACCACGACTCAGAGCAGTAGTCATGGTGTGTATTATCTGAACGTACCACATCAGTGGCCTCAGTGTAGATGTCTTCCTCGATGCTCTCAGGAGCCATCCACCTGATGGGCACCTTCTCCTCACTCCCACCCTCTCCCCTCTCCCGACGGAAGTAGTTGGTGCCATACATGTCCTCAGTCAGTCCAAAATCTGCAACTTCTCCATTGCTAGATACTCCATACCCTTTGCAATTTGGTGACATATATTTAAAAGACTTTTCGTGGCCGATTGGATCTGTTGAGAGTGTTGGTATCATATCCTAACGAAATAGTACTAAAATGTAGACTCAACCTGTGGTGCTGTTGCATTAATGCAAAGCAGTTCATCCCTGTGGTGTTTAACAAACTCCAAAACACATCCATTGGACATAAAAGGCATAATTAGTAGGGGTATCTCCTCCTCAATACACACTCCCACAAGAGACATGACATTGGGGTGCTCGAATGATAACATGGTAGCCACCTCTTTAGCTAGTCGTTCCATATCACCACTGGAAAATAGTGCTGCAAATACACAGACACATGATACATATTGTTTATGTGCAAGAGCATAATAACCTTTTCCAGTTTTGACAGCAACCAATTCCTTCCCTAATGCAGTGTTCAGATATCCCTTGTACACCAGCCCTGACTCTCCTGAAACAACAATCACTGTGATAGTGCTTTGCCAGAAAAGCTGGCTAATATATACCACACCTTGGCCGACTGTACTGGTAAGCTCAAGATCTCGCTTGGAAAATATCATTCTCTTATTCTTCAGCTGCTGCTTGAGTTGCTCGGACAGATATGATCTCTTGGTTGAACCTGCAAAATATGGGGTTCCTAACTACATGTTATAAACTTCTTCAGATTTTTTCACTTTCTTCTAATGCATCATTTAATACTCAGTTTCATTACACATATTATCATTCAAAAAGAAAATTTTCTTGTTTCTTAGCATGTAATACTAAAGCCATGAGGTTAAACATGCGGTCGGTATCTCCTTATTAGCAAAGCACAAGATTTAGGACAAAGCATACACCAAAAGTTTCATGAACACGGCTTGTGTGGCGCACCAACATTCCCACTAAACACTTGGGACATTTTATGAAATAATTTTTTGTAACAAATGTCTTTAGGTAATGATCTCACTGAGAGAGACATAGTTGTGTTCAGAAACTGAGAGCTGCCCTCTATACCTGTGCAATTTATACATTGACAGCAGAACTAAACTGATTACTCACTGTTCGAGATCAAGTCTTTTGTTGTTGTTTCTTCTTCTAAAATATAGCATGCTTACCACAACAATGGCCGCTAGTGCAGGGAGGGAGTAGTCTGGTGGGAAGTGAAGCAACTGGACGGAGCGATGGTTGCTGATGGCCAACCGAAGAGGCAAGAACATGCGCCATTCTCTCTCATTCCACTTACCATCGCTTCTCAGATTCTGTATATACAGCCGTTACAGCAAGCTTCCCATTCTTGTGAAACTTAACACTTAACCAACCACCGACACAAATGTGTCCAGAGCCTCCGTAAGTCCATAAGAATTTATATGGGGTTATAATACTAGGCGCTAATACATTATACATCAATTTCTGCTTATTTAAGGATATCCCCATGGCGTCCAAAGGGTTATTAAATATGAGGTTCTTGTACTTATTAACATGTTCGCTGTGAGGTCGTTTTTGGATTGGACTGTGACCGCCCCAGGTCTCGTTGGACAATCTGATTGAGATAGTGCTCAATTGTCTCTTCCTGCGTCTGCTCACTTGCTTCAGAGTTGGGATAACTGTAATGAAATGTCAATTCTTCAGTTGTTCGCAGCGGAAATTAAGTCACCTCATAATCAGTCCCAAGAGCGGGGGCAAACAGAGCTGATACCATCAATCCGGTGGTTAGTAAGTGCTGGAGAAACATTGTGACCCAATACAGCAAACAGTGCACTTTTTACAACTCTGTTCAGTCAGCTAGATGCACATGTGATGATGTCCAATCCGGCGAGGGTTGGGCTCTATTATAGCAGCGAAAGGATGGCGCACGCCCCCAGGAACAATAGCTACGTCAATGCCTACACCCCCTCTTCCCTGCTGCTGCGTATAATGGCCTCGAAACCAGGCCTTCAGCCTCAAACACTCCCACGCGTAATAATAAGCTACGGAGCATGCGCGCGTGCAGGCCTGGTTTAGAGGCTACAAATTGTGTAGCGACAAATGCGCGCAAGGGCTAACTGTACAGGCGATGCAAAGGGGAATTTGGAATTTCCCAAAGCGCCTAATGCGCACTGAGCCCCGTAGATACATCTTTGATATTGGCCCACCTCAAAGGCAAAGTGCTTCTCCTCCGAGAGAAGCAACACGCTTGGAACCATGCGAAAACAAATCTGCAGGTAGCCAGGTAGCTAGCTAGATAGCTAGCCACACCCAACTTAGTCCGGGCTGGACCAGAATTTCAAAACTATTCTCACAAATGACCTTCACGCGCAGTCATATTTAGCTGAAATGCCTAAAGTGAGCATTGTTCTTGGTCTCTTTGTTAGTTGCGTTGTGGCTCAGTACAAATGTCCATTCAAACCGGAGGCTGAGGGTGGGAGAGGAGGTCTCAGACAATCTAGATGAGAATATATACCTATGAGTTAGTCTACACTTCGACCAACAATTCCTGCTCCATGGCGCTGTTGAGTGTCACCTATTCTATTGATGGTGATGCCGACAGGATTGAGATAGCTACCTCTCAACAATTCCCTGTTGGCGAAATTTATGAAACATATGAACTGCACAATGATGGGCACAACTGGAACGCTTTTCTCACTGAAGTTGGTTTTCATGTGGGTCTGGCTATGTGTAAGTGCTAGTCTGCAATAATTATTTGTCACAATCAGAGTGTGATCTTTCAAGGTCCAAGACCCACTGTCACAGAAGAAGGGGAGGGTCCTCATCCCACTGGATCTCCTGGAGGGGTTGGGGAGCCTGAGTCTTACTGTGAAGAAGACCCAGACTGGCTTTATAAAGCAGGCCTCAAATGAGACTAAACAGTGAACATGTCCCAAAACCTTGAAACACAACGACAGAAACTACCATATCCCAAATCACAAGTGCTCAACATCACTCGGAAATCAGACAAATCATACAACAATTTAGTTCCAGGACTGAGAATATCACCATCACAAATGAATGGCTCAAATATCAGAAATATCCTGAAAAGTCGGAGATATTATGATGACAGAGTTAGCTAGACCTGGGAACAAGGGCTGTTAGCTAATGCGTGCGTGTGCGCGCGTGCTCTGAAGGGCTGAAGGATCGAATAAGGCTCTGTAAAACCTGTGCGAGGCTAGCGTTCATCCGCGCTAACCCAGACCTTTGCTAAGAGTTAGTATCTATTATACAGGTAGCTTCCACAGGACAACGACAAATGAAGCCACACTGAGCTCAGTGTCTACGCATGCTCGATGCATACCATCACAAACGTGCGCTAGTGTAACATACGCAGGCGCGGAGGGATCGTTATAACTAGTGAAAATGTTGGCGAGCGGGAGCGACCCAACTTGGGATTTGCCCGCGATGTTCGGGCTGCAAAACGTGCCGTCAGCGCACAGCTTTCCTTTCGTGAAGCAAGACAGATCTACCCGTCGCCGTTACATGCGTATTGTACATTGGCAGAACGGAGAGCAGGTGAGCATAACGGTACTTACCTTACACTTTCAGCTCGTCAGTCGTGGTCCACCAGGCAGCTAGCATGCAGCAGTATGTGCACGAGCAATCCTAGCGTATTTGCAAGTTGCACCATGGAACCATGAAGATTGGGAAGAGGTATACACAGCCTCTGTCAGTCACCGAAGGTTGCAGCGCATGCCGTCGAATGGAGGAGAGTTCTCTAGCTGGCTCGATCGATCGGCGCATATCGCGAGGCACTGTGTGAAAATGTGTAAAAAAAGTTTGAAATAGTAGTAAAGAAGCGCCTACAATGCCACGCATGCGCACTTACACGACGTACACGGTCGGTCGTAGTAATTGGAGAGCGGGAGCTAGTGGTCAGAACGGCACGATTTACGACCGCGTACGTCGTGTAAGTGCGCATGCGCGGCTTCGTTTTAATTCACAAGTGCTACCTGCGCATGCGTCAGGATAACGCGCTTCAACACGCTGCTCGTGCAGAATCAGATACAGTCATTGTGTGCTCGCTCCCGCTCGCCAAAAATGCCATGCAAATCGCGACGACTAGGTTGCTGCAGTCGGGATACCCGCTCAGCTACCTATACTTACCATTATCTTTCTTTCGCTAGTAAACTAGCGTTTATATTTCGCTGCACTCTTCACTCGTCTTCCGTTGATCGCATTACGCAGTGCACAAAAAGCAGAATCCGGGTGGGGTAAGACAGTACTAATTAGCACATTGGCTTGTTCACTTTGTTTTCACGCCATAACTCTCGAACGTAGTACTTATACAGATGCCGATCCTGGGGGTTGACTGGAATCAGCCGGTAAGCGGACTTCATATCCAGCTTCGCCAGCAGCTAGCGCCCCCTTGCCCAGGCGCTGAGCCATCACCGCGACCGCCTCTACGGAGGTGTATCGCGTGAGCAATATCACCTACATCTCACCGCTGCCATCAAGTTTGTTGCTTGTTGGTGTGTGCTGCTGGCTTGATGCTGTTCTTTTTTGCCGTTTTTGGTTTTCTTTGACTTTGTTGTCTGAAATGGCAGCTAAGCATGATAATTACTGTGTGTACACTCCTCTGGAGTTGTTTTTGTTGACAAACATGTAATCCTCATGGAAATACTCATGTGCCACACGTGTAGCCAGTTTGAGATGTTAAACAAAGATGGCTGTAAGATAAGTAAAGCATTGATTGGTATATATATAATAGGAGCTCTGTTCTTAAAAGGTGGGAGAGAGAGAGGGGGGGAGAGAGGGGTAGCTATTGATGCAAGTATATAGGGATGGAGAAAAGGAAGTAAGAAGCTGATTGTATATAAAGACACAACAATCCTGCCAGTTTAATAATGGCGCAGCACAACATGCAGCATGCATGTTACTGGGATGTCCCGTACATTTTGAACCCCTATATACGAGGCAAGTTTCCCTGGTAGACAGCAGAGTGTCGTGGGTTCGAATCCCACCTAGGGCAGCTCTTTCTTTTTCCGTCCTGGGTGAAGTTGACTCGTTTGCTTTGCCTTTGCCTTTCTGCCTCACCTTGTTGTTAACACATGCCTATAGCTACCGCCATAGAAAAGCTTAACCAACTTCCCATGTAATGTGAGGATATACATGCTTTGTGACCATCCACACCTCCGTTCCAAAGGCACAACCCATATAGGGATGTAGCAGACAGAAGAAGAGAATGATAAGAACATGACGAATTTTGTGGAGAATTGTGAATACCGAGTACGGATATAGTGTGGGAAATACACAGGCACCTTCCCAGGCCTTCCGTAAGTGAAAGTAGAACTATAGGTAAGAAATATTATTCCCGAATGACTGGAATTCAAGAGTTATATGGTTCCCCATTCTCCTATGGATCAAGAGCTAATACAAGTGCATGTGATTCGTTGTAACAGCAAAAAATATATCAATCTGGAAAAAAATTTGGGGTTACAGAGAAAATACACCAGTTGTGTAACTATAAATGTTGGCCGATGTCAACTTAGCATGAGTGTTATTTGTGCACGTACAATTATTATTATAGTATCGAAGAATTGGAGATCAGTTTTCAAACGCACCACTCGAAGGTGCTGCAAGGCAAGTCACCCCAGCCCTGACTCCTTTCTTACACTCCGTGGATCGTAAGTAAGTACAGGCAGACAGATTCTCTTCGTCTCCATCACAGTTAACATGATCGAACCAGTAATTGGTACCATTCTCAGCTTTAGCCTCAATAGTTATGGCACCTGTGCAACAAAGATGATCATAATGACCATCCAGTAAGTGAATTTAAAGCACAAGTGCTCATTTAAGAACTAGGGCCCAATGCAAAAACGTAAATATAGTAACAAGTTCTAGTTTATTAAGCCCTTGTATATTATTATACTGGCACACTTCGGACCATACCTTCAGCGGAGTGGCCAAGTTCCCTACAAGCTACTTTGGCATCCTCGCTAGTCCAGTGGTTACAACACAGTGACCTCCACTCATTACCCATCCTCAGTTCAACAGCACCAGATAGATAAAAAATGTCACCATCATCTGCTATACGTACGTCAATGTCACTCTCATCTGAAAGTAGACGCAATAGAAAGATAGTATAACAACAGATAATGATTCTAGAGTAGCTAAGGCGTTCACGTACTGAGGCACTGTACTCCAGCTCTCTCTGTTTGACCACAGTTATCGACCCCCCAACCTCTGTGTGGACAATCAAACAGAGATGACTCATATCCTTCGCACTTAACATCATCCAGCCAGTATCGTTCGGGCTCATCCGCATTGAAGAAGCCCCTGAGAATTGGTGTAGCACCTGCCGGAAAAAAGATGTTTTACATGTCATTCAAATAGTAGCTAGTAAAGCAGGGAATATAAATGTAAGTAATATAATGCAGTGTGCAATAATTGCAGAGTGGAAAATACTTACCAAATCCCAAGAAACGAAGTTGTCGGCAGACTACATTGGCAGCCTCATATGTCCAGTAATCATCACACACTGACCTCCACTCTGAGCCCCACAACACCTCTACCAGACCTGACTTTGCATTCACTCTCTCTAGCCCACTCCTCTGATCCACAAGACGAATTCTGACTTCTGTATAGGTAATATCACCACTGATCCACCCCTGAGTGCTTTCAATTGCATTTTTTGCAGTTTTGTCTACTTTAGAATGCCCCACGCAGTGCCCTGCCTGCGTGTGACTCATGTCACTCATTAAAAATGGCCTGCATTCATTCTAGTAATAAAACAACTACCACATTTCTAGGCTTACCTAAAAGTTAATACGCAATACTTCTTTGGCTATACATAGTAATCTTGTGTGCCTTGCCAACCTTTCATCCATTCTTTCTTATGGCAATCGTGTGCACTCTACACTGTCAATCAGTATTATACGGTGGATAGCAAATGAACTGCAGCTAGCTACTTCTCAGATAAGCCTCTTTAAATGGTTGACATACGTTCGTTGTCTAGAATGGTGAGTGTGAATGTAGCAGATTTGACACCAGGCTCCACATGAGGCTCCACCCCCATCCATGTGACGGTGAGTTCCTCTGTACCCTCAACGTCATCGTCATCAATCACTGTGTACTGTGAATCAGATGCAGTGGTCATTGTAGAGAGACAGAGTGTCAAAACTGTTACACCTGTATCACTTGTAAAAGTAGTGTAATTATAGCCACCAGGCCTTCCTGCTTATATACCTAAAGGTTACTATTAATTGTGGCTACTAATTTTAGCGAGAATCATCAAATCGCTAAATTATGTGCACGTTAACTCACCTCACCGATAAGACAACCCAGCCCTCACCCAACCCCCTTCAT